TGTGAAAACCATGCCACATTTCCATTTGATGAAGGTAATTTGGTAAAGGTAACTTTTACAGAGTTTTCAGATGCATTTTGAGAGGGGTGCTACACAGAGGCACAGTAATACACGACAGTTCCCAGGTAGGATACTGAAAGTTCCTGGGACTTATGGCTGGAATACTTCATAGTTTGCTTCTAGGTGTGCCTGGAGCAATGCAGCCATGAGTGAAAATTGCAGCAGTCTGCCAGCTGTGGGTGAGTCAGTGTCAAACCAGGGCTGTACCAGTGTCCTCATTACAGCTGGAGCTGCTTGGCATCCCTGGTGGCAATGTCCCTGGAGTTACTGCATCAAAGCACCACATTGGTCTCCTTGTTTGATGTGCAGTGCCAAGAGTTAGCTGATAAACTTTTGTTTTCTGTTTTCCTGAGGAAACCATTTGTTCTGGTTGAGTGAAATGTAGTTTTCAGTGCTGACAGGGGATCCTGTGTGTTTGTACACAGAATTTTTAAGTGGAGTGATAGTGAAACATCAAGAGCAAGTATTTCTGTGTATACATAAGAAAATGCTGAAGCACCATCAAAGCATCATTGTACATCTCTGTGAAATTACTTCAATGATTCATGTCAATGTCTGTGACAGTCAAGAGAAATTAGATGAGAGAAAAGATTCCATTTATTTCATTGAAGCGGTGTTATTGCTTTACTTTTTTTCTTGTGTGGATCCCTCTTAACTGAGTAAATGAAAAATAAATATTTTTATAAAGCTTTGCAGAATACTAGAGTAACTGAAATACTAGGAGGAGATATTGAACCCTTTCTCATTCTGCTCTTTCCTGTGGTTGAGAAGTGTGGATCAAGTCCTCTCTAGCAGAATTACTATACTATGTGTCATAATGTAATAAAATACTGTGTTATGACCTGAACAAAGGACCTGAACCTAAAGTTCTGTATTATTTTTCAGCTGAGATATTTCCCAAGAATTCTGCAAGCTTCTGAAGCTGTTGCACAAGAAAATCTATTAAGGCCCCACAACCTTAGTCATTGTAAATGACTTCTTATTCTTTTTAAAGTAGGCTAGATTGTCCATATTCCCATTGTTCTTTTGAAATCTTATATACATTTTTTTTTTTTGTAGAATGTCATGATTACTAAGGAGGGAGTAAACATGTCGAATATTTTGGGAAGTTAGTGATTGCTTGGCTGTAGCAGTTGGGAATTTGCTGAAAAATTGCCGTGCTATTACCCCATACACATCCCCTCAAATGAGAGCTCATATGGCAGGTGTTTTCTTCTTTTTCACATCCTCAGACCATAGTTTCTGAAATTGTCTTAGTTTTCTACATGATGTCTGCAAGTTGTTAAATATTAAACCCTACAAGTCTTGTTTCTCCATTTATAAGAGAGGAGCTAAAAGCTCTTCGTAGTTTTTTAATGTTTCTAAAATATTCTGAATATATAAAATGCTGCTCAAGTACTAAGTTTAAATATTTTCTCTTAAGTAAGGCAACTTGGTTTAGTCAGATTTTAACCTTCTAAGACTGCCTGAAATGATTGGAGTGACCCTTTGTGTTTCCAGCAGCTTTCCAAGGTGTCCCCAGGAGGTGATGAAAAAGCCCCTTCAGTCTTGCTCAGTGATGTTTTGATGTGCTCTCTCATCTCAGGCTTCTCAGAGCTGTAAGCTTGGTTGGTTTTTTTTGGTATTTACAGGTGTTCCCTAGTTTACCTTGCCTGCTTTTTCCACTAAGCACTGTTTTTGCAATATATTAAGACAGGGTAATAGATTTTCACGCTAGGTAAGTATGTCCTAGAACATAAATCCTCTATTGACCAAAGAAAACATTGGAAGACTGAAAAAAAGAAAGTGCAAAGAATTCTGCATGCCTAAGTAGAGCAGAAGGCATGTGACTATAGGAAATAAAGTTTTTTTAACATAGTTCATTATCTAACTGTTCATTAGTTAATATTTATTTGAGATTTTTCTGGAAGGTGGATTTACAGATCACGTAAATAAAAACCCGAAGTCAAAAGGAAGTTGAGGGGAAATTAAGAATATTTTGAGAAATCCTGTGTGTAACAGGCAGTTTTTATTTGAATATAGGCATAAAGAATGGTAGATGAGGGGAGAGTCTCTTTATCGTCTAACAAATGTTCTGAATTCTTGGTAAAATAGTTTATTTCAAATAAATGTGTAATGTTTATAATCCAATAGATTAGTCCTTTTCATCACTATCATTGTTACTGTCTGATCAAAAAAAGAGTTGATATTTGTGTTTCCTTTCATAAGGTAATAAATCTTTCATCACTATGTACGTGGTTTGATTAATTGAGGTGTATGAGGTAGCCAAGATGCTTAAAATTTTGTCTTCTGTTCCACAGAGAAGCAGGAATCCAGAGAGCTGGCCTGAACATTGTGATATAGTCCTTATAACCTCATGAAAAGCATCTGGTTTCAGTGAGAATTTATAATCAACATGATGCCTGTGTCCACCACTGGCACACACAAGGCAGTGTATAACAAACACAGAAGGTATAATTTCACACAGCTGAAAGACTGACATCAAATGTCAGCCTAATCATTTTTCAATCTTTATTGTTTGTTTGCAAGCGCCAAAATTTTAGTCCAGCTGAAGCATCCTCTCTACCAAGAAGGAAACTTCTACTTACTCAAAATTTAATTTTTTTTAATTAATCTTTTTTAATCACAAAAGTTTGGCGGATCACGAATCAAAAACTGTCACGAACATCTTAGCTATCCATGTATATGACTTGTTTACAGAAATGTAAGGAAATTTCTAGCAATAAATAAATGGTGTTCAGAGGAGTTTTTCAGTTAGGTTGGTAGAGCACTACCTCAGAGCCACTGACTTGGATTACTGTCTGCCGGGGAACTGGACTAGGCAATTTATAGTTTTATCCAGGTCTCATTTATTTTCATCTCCCACACATGGAATTTTAAAGTTCATTCATTTGCATGAGTCACAAAGGTGGAAACACTGCCCAGCTGGAAAAAATGGTACGTATTTTCAATAAAATTCCCCTCATTATATTGAGGAGGAAATCCAATCTCAAAACTGTATAACTATGTAGCTTAAATTGGTTTAAGTATCTGAAGTGGCTCATTGTGCTTTTCAGGAGCTGTCAGTTCCTATTATGCTGAATAGCTGTGTTCACTTAAGGGCTGGACAGAAATCAATTCCAAATTGTGTGTGCCATCATAATATCCCTTATGGAAATTGTCCATTCACACCGTTTCCCGGGTTTTGTGCTGTGTTTAGTAGGTGGATTTGTTCTGCTCTAATGAGGAGGGCACTGTGTAGCTGAGTGTTCTTCCATGTGCTTGGATTCATGAGCGTCTTCCTTTTTCGCTCCATGGGGAGAGCTTTTTCTCTCCCCATGGAGGCAGTGGCTCCCTGGTATGGGCAGAAATGTGTTACTGCTTAAAAATGCAGCAATATGTTGGTTAATCTTTCTAAGTCTGTGAAATCCATCTAGATTTTGAGAGACAGATAAAATAAATGGTGTTATTTTAAGTCGGCTTACATATAGGCAAAACCAAGAAGTTTGGGATTAGATACCCAAGAGAGCACTGGAAACTTCAGAGGTCACAGAATCATAGTTTGGCAGGCACGTTCTTCTCTCTCTCAGGATTTTTCATGGAGGAGAACAAGAGAGAAGAAAGAGAAAACAATTTCTATTTCTGCTCCTTGTTTTTCCCATGTGGAATGTGTTTGGAGAATTGTTTACCTGGAGTGATTGCTTGGTTGGATTCAGGTGAGGATTGTTTGAGCCTTATGGCCAATCCAATCCACCTGGGGCTGGACTCTGGAGAGGGTCATGAGCTGTGAGTTAGATATGGTAGTTAGAAAGGTAGATATGTAGTTTTAGTATCTCCTTTAAATAGTATATTAATGAATTATAGTATAGTTATAATAAAGAAACCATTCAGCCTTCTGAACTGGAGTCAGACATCATCATTTCTTCCCACGGGGTTCACCTGCATTTACAATATCATAGGGTAGCCTGAGCTGGAGCAGAGCCATCAGGATCATTGAGTGCAGCTCCTGGCAGGGCAACCCGAGAATTCCATCCTGTGCCTGAGGGCATTGTCCAAACACTTCCCGAGCTCTGTGTGGTTGAACACATTTATGTGTCCAAGATGTGTTTCTCTTCTCCCTTGCTATTCCTCTTTTCCTTATCAGCATGGGAATATTGAGAAACAACCACTTTAAATCTAGGAAAGGGCAGTAAGCACAAGAGTGCATGTTAAACTGCTCTCTGCAGTGATCAGGTGCCTAAATCCAAAATGCACTTTTACCTGCTTGTGATTCAGGGCACCTCATTCTCCCAGTTATTTTTAAAATGACAAATGCCACTAAAAACATGTTTGGTCCCATGGCAGGAGCTTAGAATTGTTTTCCTGCTGGGTAAATATTAACCACAAGGTTATGCACTCTTGTTCCATTTTGTCTGCTTCTCTAGGTCCAAGATCTACTATTTTTTTTCTTCACCATGGCCTTGCTTGACTAAGGGACCTGCCAAGCAGAGCAGGTACTTCAGTAGTCAGGACATTCCTGCTGAAGGTGTCCTCTCGAGTTCCTGCACACTGAAAAAATAAAATTTTAGTCAGTTTTCTATTTCCTTAAGATGAAGCAGGAAGAGAGTAAAGAGTTCAAGAAGTAGCCACTGAGGGGTGGTCTGGACCAGTTTTCAGTGTTGACAAATGAAAAGACATAAACTATTACTTTGGGAATTGCTCTATTGCTTCTGAGACAAGTTGAGTGCTATTATCTAATTCCTGCTGTGCAAGAGGGGAGAGATGGCATTGTTATAATTAACCTTGGGGCTATTCATTTGTTCCTTTCTTACAGGAAGCAGCTTCAGCCTCTTTTAGGACGGTTCAGCCAGTCAGAGGCTTTGTTAATCTCATCTGGGGTTGAGCCAGGGAGTCTGGACGGTGTTCTCCTGGATGCTGGCTGTTCTTCCATGCAGTTAGACACACCTGAAAGAGGCTTTTCCCTGCAGAAGGACGGGCCATTGGACATGAGGATGGATCATGACAGGTACATTATCACAAAGTATTTCTTCTTGAACCTCAAAAACTGTCTGCTCTGCACCCCCTGTGCATTTCCTTTCCTCTTAAATGGAGAATTCTTCCTCAAACCACATCTAGTACTGAATGAGTATCATGTCTTTTGCCAAAAAGCTTTTTTCCGTCTCAGTGCTCAGCCCTCATTATTGTCTTCGCCCTCTTGGAAATAAGAGGAAGGTTTCAGTAGTACGTGATTGAACCAGTAATGTTTTATTAGCTGCACCTTTAAATTGTAACATTTCTGTAGTGTGTGGTATACAGTCACAGGAACATCTCTCTTTCAGAGACATGTTATTTCCACAGTTTGCCTGTACTTGATCTGCAGGCTCACAACGTCTTGCTGCAGTCCCTTTTCTTTTCTGCCACACCTGCTATTTGTGGAAACTTCACTTGAGCACGTTCAGTTGCTCCCTCAGGAAAGGAGCAGCATCCCTCTTGTGTGCAATGACCATCTGATCCAGTTGCTTCTCTGCAAAAGGAACATGATAAAAATAAATAAATAAAATCCCATTCATGATATCTGCTAGCTTAAATCAGATAGCCACATTGCTCGTAATGTGTTGGTGTGACTTTGCCTTCCATGCCCATGTATTTGTTGTGAGTTCTGCTTGGCAAAATTATAAGCTTTCTTTCTCTTTGTGTAGGAGGCACATCAGGCTTACTTAATTGTCAAATTTATGGTTACTGAGTAAATCACCTCTGTTTAAATTTGGATTGGTGTTTAGTACTTTCAAGAGCATGAAAATCAGTCGTAGAGTGATAATTTCCACTTATACAGTGTTTTTCATCTTCAGGCAACCTGATGTATTTCTGCAGCTCTTTGCTTTTTGCATGAGCAACCAAAGATCTGTCGTGTATGGGTGATGGTTGTGATCGCATGACACGTTACATGACAGAAGATGGCAGTTTTTTCTTGGTGTTTTGATGAGTGTGGTGTCTTAAGAAATGCCATTTGTTCTTTCATTGCTCACAAGAGCCAATGGGAAGCCTCAATTTCTAAGGAGTGAGCTTACCATATTAATGTTAAGTCTTAACACAGCAAATTTCATGATACTTGCTTTTTCTGCTCTTGTACAAAATGCTCCCATGATTCTCCTGGGATTCAGTCCTCAGATTTCAAGAATCTGAACTCTAGGCTTACATATAAGTCAGATGCATTGTGAGAAAACAAACACAGAACAGGAGCATAAGAACAAAGGATACCTGAGGCATAACAAAAGCCTTACACTATGGTTGTTGCTATGATACTACTTGTCTCTAAGTTCTTTATCTTTTGTAAGATACTGCAGGGGAGTGAAAAATGCCTGAAAGCGAAGAAGAGAATTTATTAGGTAGATTTTATGTTTTCTCTGATTATTAAACTCATAGATGATGTTCATAAAATACCCCTTATTTTAGTAGTGAAGTGGCAGAGATACAGATACATAGATTGAAGGCTTACACTGTTTAAATTGTAGTAAGTCCTGTAGTTTATATGACTAGGTCATTTCTCTTATCTCTGGAGAGTATTTCTGTATAGATTCATATGCCTTTTAGTGAAAAGTAATGTTAAATTTTCTTCATTAGCAACTGTTTTCATAGCAAGAGATCTGAAAGAAAAGATATTTGAAATTTCTTCTGGCTAGAAAGCAGCATATGATGCAAGATGGCTAAAATGAACCCGTAAGAGGCAAGTTTATATTCTAAAGCTGGCTAAAGAGAAAGGTCACACATAATTTCCATCCTAGCATGATACTGGAATATATTTATTCTTAATTTAACATTACTTTGCACTAAAAGGCATAAGACTCTACATATAAATACTCTCTTGAGATAATAGAAATGACCTAGTCATAGAAACTGCAGGACTTACTGCAATTAAAACAGTGTAAGCCTTCAATCTATGTATCTGTATCTCTGTCACTTGGCTACTAAAATAGTTCAAGGTATTTTATGACTATCATCTATGGGTTTACTAATTAGAGAAAACATAAAAAATACCTAACAAATTCTTTATCCTAAACTATTAAGCATAGTTTATGAAAACACTTGGAAGCTAAACTGTTCTAATTTAAATTAGGGAGCAAACTCCACCTAGACCAGTGAGAGAAGGGGATTTAAAAGATGCAAGCTGTTTTCCCAGCACTGCCACCCCGGATTTGCCAAGCTCAGAGGCAGTGTGCAGTGTGTGTGTGTGGCTCTGTGGCAGCTCACCTTTGGTGGATGGCAGCTGATGTCAGAGGATAATTGGCCGCTCTCTGTGCGTAGGTGCCCTGCCATGGCCACCGCTGCTGATGTGGTGAACGCCCTGGACCAGCGGGCGCTTGCGTCGGTGCTCAGCGCGTACGGCGAGGAGAGACACGCCAGGAGGATTGCTGCTGCCATCGTGCAGGCACGCAGCATTTACCCCATCACCAGGACCAGGCAGCTGGCAAGCATTGTTGCAGGTACCCTCATTAATTCTGCGCAGGAGGAAAGGAAATATTAATCCCCGCAGAGTCCCAGAGGGATCTATTTGTACTCGGAGTGGTGCGGGATCTAATCCTGCCCCTTCTGCTCTGATGTCAGCTCCTTTTTTCTTTTTTTTTCTTTCCTTGCATTGTAGTTTGACAATTAGTTCAATAATAGATTTAACATGAAGTGATTTATCATTTCATCAACGAAGGTGAACCACAGAATGACAGCAGCCTTGGGTATTCTTTATCCTGGCTATTGATCCTTTCTAATATCAGATATGTCATATCTGTCTTAGTTTTAAATTTCTGTATTTTAATATTTTAAGGGGAGGTACCATGGCAGTTTCCAGTTACGAGTAAAACCAGATCATTTCTGTCTTTTTAAAGACTCAGGAACCCCAAAGCAACACATGGCTTGCTTCATCTTGTGCATGCCAACTAGATAAGCCTGAAGAGACTGTTGAAACACTTATCTTCCTTGCTCCTCACTGTAAACAGCTTGAAGAAAATGCAGTTAGGCAGGAGCAGTGCTTGCATCAAGAACATTTACATTTGTGTCCTCAAGTGAAAATTTTAAAGAAATGATATGACACAAATCCTGATCATTAACATAATATGTAGCATCAGGGTGTTTTTATTTTTTTCACCAAACGATGGCAATCACTACATCTTGTCACGAATAAGTCTAAGCTGCTGGCTTTGAATATAGACCTTTAAAATTCTCATCCAGATTTAACATTTGCTAAAGAACAATGTGAAATATTTTACCGGTATCCTGAAGAGTATTAAAAATTTCATGGTATTCTTAAAAATTTGTGTTACTTAAACTGGAAGTCTAAGGCACTTAAATTTAATGATGGAGAAATTAAAAGGTCTGGATTTTAGGAGTCAGGATACTTTAGCAAAATGTCCCGTCAACCAAGGCTCAAAGTTTAGCTGATATGATGAAAGAACCTGCTTGCTGTTCTAAGCCCCTGCTGAAAATATAGTGAATATAACCAATCTTAAAAATTAAAAATCAAAGAGATAAAGCACTATGAGGCTTTTATAAACCTTACAATTTTAATGTCCTCATTAGCAATATCCTGAAATAACAAATTTGAGCTTTGTCCTATATATTCCATGCTTTCTGAAAAAGTGTTTATTAGTACAGTGTACTACTATTGAGTTGGAAGCCACTGTTTCATGTGTTAAAGATATAGCATGTTACAGACAAGCAACTCAGTAATTCTGAAACTATTTTGTGCCATAGCTGAAACTCAGGGAATGAAAATACAGGTGTATGACAGACAGCAACTGGAGATCCCTTCGTGTTTAATATGCTGCATGTGAGTCAGCAGTTGATGCTCACTTTCTGTGACCATGGGAAGGGTTTTTCTGTCGTCACTGTAAATTCCCTGCTGTATTTGAAGAGCTTCTTGGTCCACAAGTCAGGTATGCATCAGGTAGTGTGCGTGCCAAAAACAGTGAGTCCAGCACACATCTGCCAAGACAATAAATATGTAAGTTTTGTGGGCTTTTTTGGGAGTACACAAGTTACTGTAGTGATTTTAGAGCTGTTACACTGATCCCTGCTTGCATAAAACTTCCTCCAGTTTTAATTGGTTCATCCAGTAAGGAAGCACTATGGTGGATCCTATCAGTTTTTTAACTGATTAGGAAAATATTAAGGAAATTTTCATAACTGTGATATATGTTGATTCATTTATCAGTTGGCGAAGCTATTGGGATAAGCCAGAGCTGAAGATCACAGTTACAGGAATCTCTTGATGGCACAGGCCAGCAAAACACTGACTAATTCAGGACTTGACTAGAGTAAGACTTATGACCTATTAGTTAAATGCTATGTCCTTTAAAAAATAAAATATTCATTAGAATAATAAAATCTTGCATTTTCGATTTTGCAGATTCTTTGTGAGCCTGATTATCTTCCAGAACAGGGTTGTTATTTTGGCTGTTATAGGAACCAGGACACAAGCAAAACAATCCAGCCAATGAAGCTGGGTGTCAGCATCTGAAAATTTGTGTAGTGTGTGTATTTCTTTCTCTTCTTATTGATGACTGTGGCTTCAGATGTTCTACAGCTCCCAAGTTTCATCTGAAGATCCAGCTGATAATCAGAATCACAGTGAATCTCAACTTGGACTAACCTGAGCTTGGAAATTTTAATTTCTTTTTATAGAATGATAGATTTCTGGTCTCTCCTGCCACCCCCTAAAAGGTTAGAACATGTGTTGCAGTTCCTAATCAATTGGGAGATAAAAGTCAAGGACATAGTTTTAAAAAAGCCCCAAGGAAACAAAGCAGCATTCAAAATTTTGTCTTCCTCCTGGTTTTTATAAATATTATCCAAAAGGCTTCTGATCTTTTTAAATAAGATCTCTAGGAGCTGTGGAATCTGCAGTAGGAGGAGTTTTGGGAACAGCATCTTTTCCTGCAGCACAGTCGAACACTTCTCACTGTTTATAATGTTCACAGAGCTGTTTGCAGTGTTGAGTGCTCTGTAAATTCTGAAAACCAGTAGTTCTCAACTGAAGGGTTGTGAATAGATGTGTGAAAGTTGATTAAGAAGCACTTCCTGATGTCTTTTGTTGTACCTCATTGAGTTGTTTGGAAACACGAGGTCTTGACTGCATGTGCAGGAAGACTCATTAAAAAGGCTGACATTTTTAGAAGGAAATTTTCGTATGCTTTTCCTGTACAACTAATGGTCTGGTTTGATTTCTTTTCAGGGGGCAGTATAACTTTTTATCTATAATTTTTTGTTCAAAATTTATTTTTTTCTGAGCGTTATTTAGATGCATAATCTATTAACAGACAATTTTGAGATCATGTAATCATTTGGCCTTAACTTGAAAGGAGTTTATGATGGCATGTTAAAGAAATTTTAAGAGTTTAAAAAAGACTTTAATTGGTAAAGTCAATTTCATTCAGACTGGCTCACTTTTACAGACTTTAATTATCAGTTTGGAATTTGTAATACTGCCTGTATTTCAGATGGGTGAGAATTAGCACTGTACTGAGGGAGCCTAGACAAAAGGACATTGGTTGCGTCACAGAAACTTATTAAATGCAGTGCTAATTAAACTGACAAATTCCTGCAAACAGGTGGATACTCTGAATTAATTTTTATGCTCTGGGGACTTTTAGAATTCATATTGACAGGCACAGCAGACTGCTAATTTCATTCACAGGCTTTTAAAATTTCAATACGTTTCAACATAAGAACCTATTAGATTTTTTTAAAGTGTAAGTATCATCAGGGCATCCTAAAAGTAAAAATGGTTATTTCTCTCACTGGGATTTCAAACCAGTCATCTAGCCAGAAGCGTGGTGTTTTTATGAATGAAATTCATTTTTAAATCTTCCCATACAGATTTTTTTTTTTTTTAATGTTTTTGTCCGTTGAACAACCATTTACTAAGAAGGATTTTCTTTAAGTGTCTTGGTAACAGGAGAGTCCTGGGTGAGAAGTGATGTGCCTGAGCAGAAAGCACAAATAGATTTTTATTTAGCTGAACTAGAGGAGTAAGAGTGATAGGGGAGTTTTTCCCATGGAACATAGATCAGAATTTATTGCCTTTGCTAAAAAGCTGAAGGCCAGTGTGACAGAAATTACATTTAATAATAACCAGATTAGAATAACCAGAGATTACATTTATTAGTTAATCCCAGTCTTTGACAGTAGACCAGTAAGTCTTTGAACATGTAAACAGTTTGATTTTGGTTTTAGTCTGGGAGGGTTTGGTTGCATAAAACTGCAAAGTGGCTGCATTTTTTTACCAATTTCCCAAATATTAGTGTTCTGTACTTTATTATAGGACCTGCAGTGCTCTTTGTGCATGTTCAACTGAGGCATGTAAGGTTGTATTATACTTACAGAATATATCTGGGCTTTAATTAATTTTTCTTCAGTGTGTGATAAATTACTTGTAGTAATAAATTAATATCAGAGTTAATTGTCATAGAAGCTTATTGTAGGAGGAAACTTTCCAAAGACCTGTTAGTGTCCCAGTCATGCTAACAGCCTCAGTGTCGTTGTTCTTTATTTATCTATTCAGTATTGTAGTTGCAAAGTATCAGTGTTGATGAGCAGACCAATGAAAACCTGCCCAGATATCAGCATGTTGTGTCCATGTACCTTTTTTCAAAGCCTTTTGAATTTGAGTTTAGATTCATAGGATGGTTTGGGCTGGAAGGAGCCTTAAAGCCCACCAGTTTCAATTGCCCTGCCATGGACAGGGACACCTTCCTCTAGACCAAATTGCTCAAAGCTTTGTCCAGCCTGGCCTTGGACATTTGCAGGAACAGGGAATCTACAGAGCAACCTGTTTCTGCCTCCCTACCCACAAAGGGAAGAATTTGTTCTAACCTCTGATATGATTCATTCCATAGTTCTGAGCATCCTACCAGTGCTGCTGGCTGTTACGTGACCTTCAAACGAAGTTGTATTTGTTCTGCCCAGCACAATGTTGCTTTGTTGTGCACTAAGAGGCAGTTCTCACCACACACAGCTGGCACTCAGTGGCTGTTACGAGGGTTCCATTTTCAAAGAATCCATTTATAGGTGTGCAAAGAGACATGGAAACAGACACTGTGCCTAAGTACAAGCTTGATGTCTGTTTCTTGGGATTCCTCAGGCTCTGTGGTTTTTAGCTCTCCTTTTAATTGAGGTCTCTCATCATAAAGAGTGTTGTGACTTCTACAGTGGGAGTACACATCCTTTTTATGATTCATGGTCAATATAGAAGATTATATTCTCAAGGATAGAAATTACATTGACTCACTAGCTTTTTCTAGAGTTTGTAAGTGATGGAGAAGCCTCGCT